GGGGACCAGATCTACTTTCTGCAGAGAGACTCAGCTGGGCATGCAGGAGCAGGAAAACTCCGTATCACAGTTGATGGATGTCGGGTGTGCTCCTCGGCATAAGGCTGGGAGTGCAACCCAGCAGGAGATCTGTGCAGCCATCCACCCTTTCAGCCAGAACCAAGTGTTCCGTCAGCCTCATCTCGGCTACGTGAGGGTGAGTTTTACTCCGACAACTTTTCTTCAACATCTTGCAATTGGTTCCATAAACAAATTTCAACCACTGTTGGGGTTTAAGCATTTTCAACCTCTCTGTAGCTGGAAAAATTAAAGGATTCTTTCCCCAGCCACAACTCCAACAGTCCCATGGTAGTTGAAAGCTCCTGTCATGGCTGGTGATAGTGATCCTATGCCTGTCACAACTCCGACATGCTCAGATTAATGCCAAAATAACAATTTCTGTGCTTTTGGCACATTGGAAAACTTTCCAGAACTGTGCTATCATCAGTAATTATATTTTACCCTTATATTTATGAACATATTATAATGACTTTAAACTTTAAATGAAGGTGGAGTTTAGGACATTGGACATTGTGCGACATATCCACTCCTCCGCATATTAGACATCGGAAAGCAACAAATGATCATTTATTTTTGTTACAAGAGGAGTTGGCAGAACTGCTTTAATGCTTCAGGTTGCCTGACAGCTCTGTTTTAAAACATTGTTCCGAATGACTTAAAAACTTGCCAGATCTTGAGCGTTTTGTCTGAAACTTTCCAAGTTGAGTTCCTGTCTCAGATCAATGCTTTTATATATTCACTGTTTTTTTGGAAACTGAATCTCAAATAAGTCAATCATCTCTTTGGATGCAATTAAGGAAAATATATTGCTAGGCTAATGTTTAAAAGCTCTTAAAGATGTTTTGTTGAATAGCTCTAATACCTTCCTGGTTTGGAGCAATAGTTGAAAGTTAGGAGAGACGTCAGACTGGCTAGATACGTGTTTGATTGTTCCTGTGGACAACAGCCAGCTGTATATGTGTTATGGACCACAGGAAAGAAAAGATCTTATTTTTTGTAAGTTCTCAAAGGTGCAGCTAAACTGTTGGAAGGTCCTTCTTAGTGTACGTGCTGTCTGCAGGGCTGGGGTGGAAGTCTGTGACTGCAAATCTTGTCTCCAGACTCAGGAAATAGCATGAGGTGAGGATGAGCATCCTTACCCCTGCATCCCTGCAGTCCCCATCAGCAGGTGGAAGGATAGCAGGGATGTGAGCCCACAGGGAGGACAGAGGTGTAGTTGCTCCATGCAGGCTCACTGTGCTCCCGTGGCACACAGGACAGGACCAGCACAGTAAATACCAGTGATAACAGAGGTCTTCTGCAAACAGGTGTGGGAAAAGGGCTAGTTTCCACTCCTGTTCCCCCAATATACCTTTTGCTAGGGATTTTTGAACAGGGGCACTATGCACCAGTCCCCAGTATCTGCAGGGCTCTGATCCAGGAAGAAAGAAGAATATTTTTTATGGAAGCTGCTGGTTTTGCTGCTAAAACTCCATCCTATTCTTTTCTTGTCATGCAGCTGGGTGTTCCCTGCTGAGGCCAGAGCCGGGCTGGGCAATCACAGCTATCGCTCCAGCTCGGAGAACAACAGGGGAGAAGCAAATCCAAGCTGGAGGGTGCAGCCAGTGGCTTGGATGCAGGGTGGGCACAGAAACCCCCAGCGTCCTGATGGATTATCACTGCTGCAACCCCCCTGTGAAAGGGAAAAGCTTCATTAGCAAGGCAAAGCTGTTTGAAGTGGTGAGGGCTTCCTCAGCATGAGGAGGGGGGACGGTGCTGAGCCTGTGGCTGGGGAATTAAATGCAGCTCATGCGTGTTTCTTGCAATAAGGTACCTTTTTATTTAAAAATGACAAAACCAGTGATTAGAATTCTCTTTCTGCATTTGGCTTAAAAAAAAAAAGAAAAGAAAAAGAATTAAAAATGTATAAGCCCCTCTGTACTGCATATGTATATTTTATCGCTGTATAATTGGGATCTTCATTAGTTCTCTGGATGAAGTGACATGCGTTTCATGTGATACAGACACCAGTGCATTGAGATACAGTTCTTTTTTTCCAAGATGCTCCTTCTTAAATACATGCAACACTCTCTAATAAGGCCTTATGTATTTTTTGGAGGAATGCTATCACTGAAAGACAAGACCCTGATTGCAGCAGAAGCAAGGGCGGGGGGCGACATTTGGAGATGGAGAAGGTATTAATTATGTAAATCCCAAACCCCAGGGTATAATTGCTGCTGCTCTCAAACAAAATGTTACTTTTATCTAAATTACTAAAGTGGGAAAAGTGCAATCCAGATTAATTTGGCAGTGGTGCTGCCGAGCAGAGCTGCAGAACCATGCAGAGGGGAAGGTGCTCCTGTCTATTCAAGGAACGGAGATTTTCCCCACTCCAGAGGCAGCTCCATCAGAGACAGGAGAGAGAGATGAGGGTGGAGTAAGCTTGGAGGAAGGTCACCAGTCCTGTGAGGGAAAGTTGATTCCCAACACTCTTGCCCTTTTTCTGTCAGCATTCAGGGCCCTCTTTTCCTATGTAAGGAAGAATCAAAAGCTTTCCTCCAATGTGAGTACTAAATACATTTGAATTCAGAATAATTTCCCTAGAGGCTTCCCTCCAGCCAGACCCTGTACCTTTGCCAAATCTTGTCTCGTAAGTACCTTTTCAGACTGGTTCCGGTTATCCCTTACTGTAGTTTAGATAATCTTTTCCTATATGATACAGAATCAAAAGCTTTCCTCCAGTGTGAGTGGTTAGAGGTACTACATTTCTTTATCAAGAAACCCACCTTTTCTTTCCAAGTTGTCAGGTTAGTCTTGCACCATCTACCTCAATAAACCCATGTTGAGCTCTAACCGCTCTTCATTTATCCCACATCTTTAATTCTTCTTTGTCCAAATTGGCTCTAACAGCTTCGATACTGCAGGGATCAAACCAGAGGGCTTATAAGCACCAGTCTGCTTTTTTCCCTTAGAAATCCAAAGAAGGCTTTCCCCTGCCAGCTGCTGAGAGCACCTCTCCACCAGGCAGGTTACCTATTCCTCCTGCTGGTTCATGCCTTTTAGAGGCTGGCCATTGACAGGTGATTTCCTGTTCTGAGGCAAGGAATAATCAGACATATGTAGCCCAGAAGCACTTATTTTTTGGCAGAGGGTGAGAAAAAGTTCACATCACAACCATAGGGATGTTGAAAGCCAGACCCATAAAGCAGTCCAGCCTGGACTCTGGGCATCATGTGCTTGGAAGCAGCAGCATCTCCCCACTCAGCTCCCTGTACAGAGAGTACTGCTCATCTCACACAACCTCTCCCATTCTTCTTTCACCCCAGATCATTGGGCTGTTACCTCTCCAGTCTGCTGGCTCAGGCCTGGTCATAAGTGAGCTCAGATCTCCACAAACCCCATAGATATTTGGTGGAAGGAAAGTGAATTGTGAGATGGTCTTGTCACAGGTAGAGGTGATGGAGGGCTCCGCACTTGCATAAGTGATGTCACCTATACAACTAATGAGCTTTGTTCATCTAATCTAATAGACTCCTGGGAATCTCAGAGACAAGTCACTGGGTGAGATTTAAATGCCTCCAAGAGCCACAGATGACTAAGTCACCAGGCAAGAATCCAACCCTTTATTTATTATTCCAGGTGGGTTTGAGGTTGATGGGGTTCTTGCATCCTAACACATCAAACTCGATCAGTTCATTGTGACAAGCTCTTAACATAAAAGATAGAGTATGGCTATACAACAGACACTGTGGTCCTGACCAGGCCTGACTGCGTGCTCACCAGGATCAAACTGCCTGGTAGAAGGAGCTTCCAATGCAACAGCATGAGGAACGAAGGGGAAAGACAAGTGACTGTGCAGACACAGTCAAGGGCTGGTCCTGTTCTCAAAGCATGTGTCAATGATGCGTGTTCAGTGACTCATGATAAGCTCGTTAGAGCATGGAGTTACTCTACACCAAGAAATAGGCTCGTGTCATTGTTGAATCAGATGTGACACCAGCATACATTTTAAAAGGCATTTTTTAATTCTAAAACATTGTTGACAAATACGTGTCCCAGTTTTTTTAAGGACTGATCCTATTTTTAGTTCTCTAAACAGAATAAAATCAGCCTTTTCCTTTGTTGTCAGAAATTCTCATTCACTGCTGTCCACTACTGTAATCAGTGCTCCTGTCAAAACACCCAACTGAGAATCCCTACACTAGAAGTCACCAAACTCACATCAGATGTAATAGAGATGGAAGAAGGGACATCCTGGGTAATATCCGTCCTCCTCATTACCTGTCTCTGCCAATGCTCGCTACGAGATGCTCAGAAGGAACAGGACAAGCATGGAGTGGCATTACCCTGGTGACTTTCCTGCTTCCAGCACTGTGTGGCTCAAGGATCTTTTGTTGAACATTGTTCAGCATCACCATGTTTCGGACAAATTCCTTCTCATTTATTAATCAGTTTCCCTTTTTTCTGAACCTATTTGTACCTTTGGACTCCATGACATGCTCAGACATTGTGTTATGAAGTGTAATTACTCATTCATTCTCAGGGGATCTTCCCCTTCCTGGTTTTCAGCTTCTTGCTTGATAATTTGAGGTGTTGATTGCATCGATTTGTGTTTGGGGAAATAGTGAACTGTTTTCTATGCACTGTTTGTGCGTCACTCATGATTTTGTAGGTCTTGGTCTACCAGTCTCTCTCCTCTCTGTGCAACTGTCCAAACTGAGGTGTGGTAGCCTTCCAAAAATCTCCTGTCATGGAAGTTATTCTAAATCTCTGTTTATTCCTCTTTCCCATCAATAAAGCTCTTCTAAGTGCCAAAAGATTTCCAGTCAGTTTCAATGAGAATATGCATCATATTCAAAATGTGGCGATTCCATGGATTTATACATGCAACAAGTGGTTTTCTGCTTGCTCCTGGTGTTTTTTTTTTTTATTTCTCAATATTTTATTTATGAGCACTACCAAGGTTTGCACTGATGTTCTCAAGAACTCTCTATAAAGATTAAATCTTTATACACCTTCATATTCTATTCTATTCATCTTTAGATCACACTTGGCATGGCATGACACATATCCATACCTTGCATTAATACTTCCGCACCCTCCAGAAAAGGCTGGTCAGACCCACACTGTCCATTGGAAACTGTCCTGGGCTGCACCAGGGGCCTGTGAATTGTTCCATATGGTGTGAGTTGGCTGGGAAAAACCAAACCAGCCTAAAACCAACACCATAGTGTTGTAATGAGTAGAACTCCATTGACCAGGAAGGTTCCCTGGCACTGTTTAATTCACTGTTATAGGCAGATTCCCCTGACTCCTGCATGACTCTGAACACAAAAAGGTTTTTACTGCTGCATTTTTTCATATCATTTACATGGCCATCACACCATATAAGGACCTTTTTATCCCATGACTGGGGAAACTTTACTGAAAGCTTTCTGCAAATCCAAGTACTCAAGGCTACTGTGTTCTCACCTGCAGGATCTAGAAGTTCTCTGTTGGTCAGTTTTGGATGAGAAAACATTTTGTTCTGCCTTACGTGCCTGCTTATTTTGCTCTTTACTGTAGTGTCTTCCAGCTTTCCTTATAAAAAAAATCACGCTTCCTCATTTCACAGCTTTCCATATTTCCCCTTCAACTCTTTTTAATAAAGGGCAAGAAATTCTAGTTTCTGGTGCCTAGGTAGATTGAAGTGACAGATTTCCCAGCACAGCTAAGAGACTGGAATTTAATTTTTTCATTCCTTCACAGCTCTTTGGAAAATACCATCTGGTCTTGATGAATTTTTATTATTCAATTTCTAATTTCAAGCCTAAAATATAAACCAGTTCCTTATACTCATCCCTTGTAATGAAAATTTCCCATGTGGGAACATTACTAAATTCCTCTGTTTATTTAACTTTCCTGCTGTGCCCTTTCTTTCACAGTTCTCCCACTGAATTCTGATCTTCCATGAGCTGTACTAGTCCTATGGCATATACTTACTTTTTAATGCTTGAAAAAAAAGTGTTATCATTAGCTTTTATGTCTTTAGCAAGTTCTTCCTCAAACACATTTTGGACTATGTTAATTTGGTTTTACATTTGCTTACCAGAGTTTATTTTCCTCATTTGAAAGATATCCTTTTAGTTGCTTCTTTTATGCTACTGTATAACCATGGCCAGAATTATTTTTGTCCATTTCAAGTTTTCTAATAATGTCCTAGAGCTTCTAATACAATGTCTGCCAAAAGTATCCCCACCAGTTTCAATCATTTTGCCCTTCTGGCCATTCTCTTTAAATTCCTTTTTAACTAGTCTCCTCATTTATTTGGATAGTTTCTCTTTAAACTGTATAAGAGCAATTTCTACTTCCCCCCTCTCTCCTACAGAGTACTGAACTTCAGTCTATTATGGTCATTCTTATGGAGCTGCTTTTTGATGGTTAGACCTTGAACCAGGTCTCCTGGACTGCTCCATACTAAATCAAAGGTTGCTTCTTCTCTTTCCTATTCTCCAAAGAAACAGTCACTTACGCAGCCTGAAAATCTACTCTCAGCACCTCACCCCTTTGTAACAGTCACTAATCACCATGGGGGGAACTGAAGACTGCTTTTATTTTTGTGTTTCCTGCCCTGAGAGACCAACCAACATTACTCAGTGCTTGATGACCCCGCGCACCATCATTATGCCTACCCACAGAGTACAGAGTACAGCCACCGTGCTATTTCTTTGACATAGGCATTTCAGTCCAGCAGAATCGTGTGCTACTACTGATAGAGTGAACTTCTTTCCCTTAATGATCTTTCAGACCCCCCACCTATTGTCTCTTCTCCACTGATGCCAGCTACTCTGGTGTTACTCTGAGTTACACCATAGTAAGAATGTCATGCTGATAACTATCCCTCTCCCAGGTACCTAGGCAGCCTGTTAAGTCAATACTTTCCTTTAGAATCAAGTCTCCAGTTCATCTAATTTTTACATTTCTAGCATTCAAACAGATACATGCAAATATTTGGTATTGGTTCAGCTGTTGGGTTTTTAACACCAAACCATAGAATCAACTTACGTTGGAAAAGCCCTTTAAGCTCATGCAGTCCAACTGTACCCAGCACTGCCAAGGCCACCACTAACCCATGGCACTAAGGCCTCGTCTCCACGCTGTGTGAACACTTGCAGGGACGGTGACTGCAGCCCTGCCCTGGGCAGCCTGTTCCAATGCCTGAGCACCCTCTGGGGCAGGAATTGTTCCTCAGCTCCATCTAAACCTGCCCTGGTGCAGCTTGAGGCCGTTTCCTCTTGTCCCATCCCTTGTTCCTTGGGAGCAGAGCCCAGCCACCTCCTCTGAACAGCTAGAGATGCTGTATTAAGAACATACTCTTAAAACACCATCTTGAGTCAAGGTCTGTTTTGGCCATGTGGGAACCTGCCTCTCATGGGCACGTTCCACCAACTCCGAACATTTATTTGATTTCTAGCAGGTGCAGATCCTGATCCCATACACATTTTTCTCATATATGCCTTGAGACTTCTATTTCCTCTGCTGAGTACTTGGTTCTGAGAGCATTTAGGAATCACACTGTTGACAGCTTGCTACACAACCTCCTCAACAGCAAATTCTAAAACTCCTCTCCCATTCCTCCTTGGGCCAGTGGTGCTCACACAGACTCCCACTACTGACTTTACGTGGCACCAGGAGCCTAGCTAGACACTCTATGAGGTCTCACCTTTGTATCTCAGCCCAGAGCAGCTATCCAAACATCCAGCAATGGGATCCTCCCCACTGCATCCTCCACCTGGCACTTCACATCCCACAATGACATTTTGTGGTGTCCACTGGGGAGGTGTCCCTCACCTCCTGGATTTCCACATAAGTCTCCCAGGTAGTAAGGATGGAACAGTAATCCAAATCTTACTGAAAAAATCAAAATGATGCATGTTCTGCTTGGGCTGAATTTCTTAGAAGTTACTAGGAATGAGTGTTACAAATCAGAGTTAATACCCAAAAATGACTAGCTGCAGCTTTCTCAAAAGCATTTGATAAGATTGCTGGAGATGTCCTGCAAACACTTTTTTTCCAGCAAAAGATACTTAGAAATTGATCCAAACCACTACAGAAAACTATTTGTAACAGTTTTGTGAAGAGCAGAATCTTAACTAGCTTCTATTCTAATATCTTTAATATTAGGAAATTCACAATTGGCTTACCTGTACCAAATCACCAAGGAGCAGAAGAAATGAAGTCTGAAGACAAAGTGCCAGAAGCTCATCTATATACAGGTCCTACTTGTGATAGTAGGACTACAGGAGAGTCAGATGCTATGGAGGTGGTGGAGGAATTAGATGGAGGTGGAGAAGTAGGAAATTATACCCTTTAGTGATAAAACACTGAGATATAGACTGAAATGTTTTACAAGTGAAGATCTGTACACACAAAATGCAGGTCTGAGCACACGATGAGGAAACAGAAATGGCCAAAGAACTGAGTGGGTGGGAGACTGCATTTCAAAAGACTGTGAGGGTTAAAACAGTCTCTTAAAATAGGTCTGATACCTTGACCTTTCCACTGTGATAGCTCAGTCTAGTGGTTAAACACTTCAATGCATTACTGGCTTTCTCTGGAAATGGGCAAGGCTTGTGGTGGTTCCCTAAAGCAGCTGGAGTGACACACGATGAACCACTTACTCCACTGATGCCGGATTACACTTTCTCCCAGAAATTACCTCTAAATGGTTTGTTTTGCTCTGTTATTACAAATGTACTTATCATGGGAACATTTCTATCCACTGATGGCTTTTGAACTATTCAGGGAGGTATTTTCCTTCTACTACTCATTGGTTATGGTGAATAAGCCTTCACATAAGTCACCTGGCATTGCTTTGGCTCCATGACTGGGTAACTGACATGCTTATAGATAGGTGGAGGGACAACAGAGCATGTGTAAACTGGCCAAGAAACCACATGCAGAATAAATGCACTTTGCTGCTTGTTGCTAAAGAAGTTTGGAATACACCAAAAACTTCACAGCACATCAGCAAACAGAACATCCTACAAGCAACTTGGCCACTAAAAACTTCCAACAGCACTTTTGACATTAGCTATGGTGGAATTAAAAGGGGTCACCAAAGGAAAACATGAACAGGATTGAATTTGGATCCCCAGTTTGTGTGAATGAGCATGGTCCAGAACACAGATGTATCGCTAAACTAAGGCTGGTTAATGCATCTGGGACTTGGCCCTTGGAGGGGATGTGTTCATCTTCCTGCCAATTTCTGAGAGAGATTCGGTTTCAGAGGACCACCAGCTGCTTCTGTGTGGAAGAGGATGAGCCTCTCTGTAAGCAACATTTGTCAGTGCAGAGGGAAGGTCTGAGATGGAGGAGGAACAGAAAAGGAGGTACCAACAGCATGGGAGAGGATTCATGCTGAACAAGTGGTGTCAGTGCTGAACTGCATCACTCCAACTGACACCTTGGACTGGCAGCTCTTCAGCCACCTCCATAAGCCCTGTGGACCTGAATGTGATATTAAAATATCTCTAATTAGAATCGGGCCCTTTACCCTTGGCATATCCAGGTGGGAAAGCAATTTTCCACGGCAGTTTTCAGCCAGGAGGTAACATTGACTTGTTGAGGCCCATCTCTCACTGTAAGAAAGGGCTTTACCCCTGAAAAAAAGGCAAATCCTTGATGTACGGGTAAAGCAAATGTTTCAATATAGAACAGGCCTAAACAGACACTATCTGGAGACAGAGGACACTCACCTTCCCTTAGGACTTTCTGCCAGTGTTTAATCACCTCCATTGCTAAAACCTTGTGCCTTAGTCTGAATTTCTCCAGCTTCAGCTCCCAGTCAGTTTTCATTATGCCTTTCTACATTAAATCAAAGAGCCTTTTAGTACATGGTATTTTCTCCCCACCAAGGTACTTACACATTACTCAAGTCATCTCTCACTCTTCTTCCCTACAATCTAAACAGATTCTGCTTTTAAAAATGGATCACTAAAGGGCATTTTGTCCCACCCTCAGGTTGGTTTTGTGGTTCTTTGCTGAATCTTCTCCAGTTCCTTTACCTATTTAGAAGAGCAAACTTCAGACTGACATCTCATATTCCAGGTGAGCACATGCATGTGGAGGGAAGAAATCTATCCTTACTCTTACTCCTGTGTTAACATACACCAGACTACATTAACTCTTCATGCACTAACAGCTTACAGTTGCTCACTTACCCACAGCAATCTTTAGTCTACTTTTGGAGCCACTGTTTTCTAGAAGGTCCTTTTTGCCTTTCAATGCATGAGTTTGCACTTGGCTTCACATTAATACCTGTGAATGGGCCCATGTGATCCCAATCACTCAATTAGCTGCCTTGTCAGGTGCACTGCAAACATCTGCTGCATCCAGGCTGTGTGCTCCTAAACCAGCTCCCAGTTTAGCAAAACCAGGAAATCTGACCTGTTTGGTAGGATCTAAATGCTCTAAAACCACGTGGAGCAGCTTGTGTTGATTTTCCAGGTGTTCAACCTGTGATGGTACCTTTATTTTGCCTAGGACCTGTGCCAGCTAATTTGTTTAGAAGTAACTCATGTGGGCCTGCTACATGAGCTTGAATATCAGGACATCAATATTACAACATGTATTTAAATCAGCATCAGAGTATAAGAAATCTACTCAACCTGCTATTTTAGGATGCTGAAGTATAAAGGGAGACATATGCTGATGTTAAAATGTTTGGATCTAATAGGTGTTGCTTAATACCCTGACACATTGAGGGGCAGAAGAAATACTCCTCATACCTTGACATACATTTGCACTGTGCTATTCACTGTCCACTCCTGTCATCTATGTGCGATTTGTCACTCAAATGCGTATTTAGTTTGGGTGTCCAGAAAGGAAAACAGCCAACTGGAGCCTTTCTGTAGGTCGTTTATTAATTCTTCATTTATAAACCAAGGCTGACATGACTGAGTGCATGATAGAGTGGATGTCAGACAGGCTTATGTGAAGGTGGTGAGGCTGAAACTATGACTTGCTGGTTCTCAGCTGAGCAGCTCCTGAGGAACAGGGTTTTCACGCAGCGCTACAGCTCAGAGTCTCTTCAAAACAGAAAAGCGTATGTATGAAAAGCATTTGTAATTATCATACAGTACAGCACATTAGCACAGCTATAGCTACAGTGCTGTCACTTTGTAGTGATAATAGTATATTGTTGGTGTTGTGTTTCTCCTACAGTGACAGCACTAAAGGAACACGGATGCCTGGCAGCTCACATGCAAAGATACAGCATTATTTTATTACAAATACAACAGATGTATGGCATGTACAATGTATACAGTTGGATTAGAGTGCAACACAGTCCTTCCTCCTTATGCTGTAAGGGTGCAGGGAGAAATGGTGGATAGATCGTAGATCCCAATTACTTCAGAGTAACACAGCAAAGCAAGGTCTGTATTGACCATGCATTCATATTACAAATAAATGTGTCTTAAGCAGCAAGGCCAACAGCAAAGACCCATGGAGGTGTCTGAGCAGGAGAGAGGTCTGTCACTATGGAGGAGAGGAGGAGGATAAACCCAGACTGATAAAATGTCATCCCCAGATGCCAGCCTCAAGCTCCTCTTGGATCAGGAGGGTGTGGAGACACCCTACTTTCCCCTTAACATTTCCTCTGCCCTGTGCTGCACTCTCTCTCCACCTCTTCTCCATCTTTGTCTGCAGTTGCTGTTGTTGGGTGAGAAAGTGGAGAGGATCCCCCTGCTAACCTGGGCACTTCCCTCAGGCCTGGCTCAGGAAGGAATCTTCAGGGATCTTCCAGTGCAGCCAGCTTGGGATGCTGAGTTCCCATCCCAGGGACAGACATCTTACTTTTAACCAGGCCGTGAGATCTTTATAGGATGGTGACAGCACCATCTGTACAAAGGGTCCTTCATAACTCCTGCTTGTACTGAAACAGCCTATACTGAAGGAAAAGCAACTCCACATGAACACCATGTACAAAACTGCAAAATAAAACTCTAACTAGTTACCCACTGTGCCCACAGTGATATATCCTGCAACCAGTTTACCATCTTAGCACAGGCATCCTCAGGACTGCCAACCATTACAGTCTGAAGGAGAAAATGAAGATTGACCCTGCAAAGGGGGGATGTGGCTGCTGGCAAACAGGAGCTGCTGGAAAGAGCAAGCCCCACAGTGGCTCAGCATTGTCCATGGGTCCCCAATCCCAGGCTGAGCAAGTGCCTGCAAAAAGATTTCTAACATGTGACCCCCTGGGCAGCTCAGGAAGAGCAGAGGCAGAAACCCAATGTGAACAACCTGCAAAGGAACCTTAGTCTCTATTTGTCCAAACTTTCCTTGCTTTCCTTTACCTTCCAAGGTAAAATCTTGTCAGTCCTGAGGGAAGTCCTCACACCTGTCTCCATCCAGACAGTAGCAAGGCTGCGGCTGCTGTACCCCATTCACCCATTCTACCAAATGACTGAGAAACATCAACTACATGTTTTCACAACAGTCTGTAGAGACTTGTTGTATCTGACACAAAACTTTCTATGGCATACAGATCCTGGATCTTCAGTCCAGCATTCAACTTGCTTCCTCCTTCAACCTATTTCTCCATTTGCAGCTTCGGGCAAGGTCTTCAGTACCTGTCTGATGAACAATCACTATTTTCTCCTCACACCTGATGGCAGCTGCATTACTTTTGTAACATTCTCAGAGGGAACTCACCTGGGAGCAGTGGCAGAGCCCAGACAATATCAGTGCTAAAGGTGTTCAGCTGTGCCGAGCTACGAGGCGAAACAGGAGGTTGCAAAGGTAAGGAGCCTGATGGAACTCACAGATGGTCCTACTTTCTCTGAACGATGACTCTAATACCAGTGTTTTGCTGATGCAGGGTAACACAAAAGCACAATATGTCTAAAAGGAGCAGAAAGAAATGGAATGTCAAGACAGCTGTGTTGCATTTAGGTTTTGATGCCTCTAAGAAACCCCTCACATAAGCATCACTAATGGTTTTTGGGTCTTCACTCTCTTGACTGTACATTTCCCTTCAGCCTTGCCTGGTACGCTCCAGCTGCCTGACAACTCCACGGGCCATTGGCTATGGCAAAATAAAGGAGCATCAGACACATCAAAATCATTTGGCTCTTTGATGTTAGGTGAGTTCCTCCTCCTCATGCCCTTTAAGCCAGGGTCATCTCTCCGCAAGGTACAGCCTATGCTCCTCTGAATTGCTTCTTCACATGATTTTTCCTTCCTTGAGGAACACATGAGGATGCCTCCTCAAGATAACAGGTAGGTAAAACAAGGTGTCTTGGCATCCTTATCACCCCTTTGTAAAGGTTGCATTTTTCAACAGCAAATTAAGAAGATTAATCAAATTATTCTGGCATTTTCCAGCTGCTTGGTCACACAGGGTCACTTCTTTGGCACCCTCCTGCTGAGCCTTCCTAAGACACCGCTGCCAGGAGGTTCATAACTTAGCAAGGGAGTTTCAAAGCAAGGTCTGGAGTTCCCGGTGCCATGGCCTCTGGCAGGTTTTCCAGCCAGCTGGTGACATTTTCCTCCTGCAGCTTAGGAGATCTGCAAAGGGAAGCACCAGGCAGCTTTCCTGGCATGGGCTGTCTAAACTGCCACAGCCTGCTCCGTGTTTCTAGGTTCAGGAAGAACTGAAGACATGGAGGTGCTCCACACTGGCCTTACAAACATCTATTCTTCACACTGACACAGGTGAGCACCACAGTTCCTTTGCTAATTCTCTCAGCTGGAGCCTGGTGACCTCCACGTATACTGAAGATAAACATTAAGCAAAGGCAGCTCAAATGCACCTACTCAGTGGTGTAGAGCTGCTTGACTTTGCTCTAGGTACCAGGGCAGGAGGAGGGGATGTGACACAACAAACACTAGCATCACACTTCTGGGAGGCCAGGGAGACCCCATCTCAAATTAACATCTGGATCAAAGTGACAGCTGTCTGATGCTTCCTACCATGATTCCCTGAAACTTTTCCCTCCAGAAAGATGAAGCAATGGCAGTTGAGCTGTTCCAAGCAGTTTTCCTAAGCCGTGGACCACTGGTCTGGGTGTAATTGGCTCATATTATGTCTAACTGCTTGTTGTCTTTGTGGAGGGAGCAGTCAATAGAGGTGCAGTATCTTTTGAGGCCAGGCACTCTACCCCCAAGTCTCCCCTGTGGAATTTTGGGAGCCAGAACGCCCACATCTGGGGAGTGCATTTCCTCCCACCACAGACCTGGGGTTCAGCACAGAGATGCTCTTGGCTGTTCTAATATCCTTTCCATGGGGCATCAGGCGAATTCCCACTTTGGGACTGTCTGTGCTTGAACTTAGGCCCATTTAGCATTGGGTGTTATGTCAACTATACTCAGTTCAACCTGGGCGAAGGTGCATCATGCACTCTCTTTTCTGTATCAGCCAGGCCTTTTTCAGCTTGCCTGAGGTAATGAGGAAGAAGCTCATTTGAAATAGGTCACTGCAACCACACTAAAAATACCTTTGCATTGGTTGAATTGATTTAACTGGACCAGTTTAACTCTGCGTGGTAGCAGCAACCTAAATCCTCCTAAATGAGAATTTTTGTTTCTCTAAATGTTCCAGAGCAGAGAAAAATAAGGAGAGCAACACATCTCAGTGTCCTTCAGGCCTGTATATCCTGTAAGTAGTCTGTAATCTAGAAGAGACTATACTGAGCCATAGAATTCTGCTGTCACATTTTGTGCTCCTATAATTAAAGTGCTTCCATTGTAAACTCAGTTTTTTGGGGCTTATAACTTTTCTTAAGAGAGTGAACAGCAATGACCTCTTTCTGCATTCTAAGCAGGTTTTAAGGTCATTATGTGAGTGTTAACTTTCTGTCACAGTATATTGTAATGAAATGGGTCTTTCAGAGTAAAAGCATTTTACAGTATTGGTAAAAATGAGCATATTCATCTTAATTTTCGCATCTACTTAATTTCAAGAGCTTTTATAATTAAATGTTTGGTTGCACTGGCAAATAGAGGGAGCAAATCCTTGTCATCATGAAAACAATCCTATTCCATCTGTGTGCTCTGCTGGGGAGGAATGAAAATAGCTTTACATGGAATTTCTCCTTAGAAAGACAAATGATGACTTTTCCATACTGGAGCAGCAGATGGGTGTTATTTTCTCAGCGAAATCAGCCACTGGACCCTGCTTCCTAGCTGGTATCCAGCCACCACCTGCCTGAGAATGTGCACTTTCCAAGGTAACTCTGCTGGATGGAGTTCTACTGCAGCACCAAGAGTGGCCAAACACTCCCAAGGAACTGCCAAAGATAAAATAGAGCTGTGGAGATGGTGAGTGAAGAGCAGAGTGATGGTCATAGGGCTCAGACAATGCCC